CTCCGGGCCCGGGGAGACCCCGTCCCCTCCCCCCCTGTGCCCCCGCCGCTGCCGCTGCTGGTGGTGGTGTTGGTGTTGGTGGTGGTGTTGGTGGTGGTGCTCTTGTTAGGGAGGCTGGGCCGGTTCTCTCCATGTCCACGCTCCAGATCCATGCTCCTAGCCTTGCTCTGCTCGGGCTCCACGTACGGCTGTCGTCCGCCGCTGTAACGCTCACCGTCTTCCCTGCTGTTGCCGTTGGTGTGTGGGAGCTTGGAGCAGCTGGGAGAATGGGTGAGTTCTCTGTTGTCCCCAAAATGTCTCTCCTTGGACCTCCCTCTGGTGCTCCTGAAGGGTTTCGACTCCCCGGTCTCCCTGTCTTTGTCCCCTCCCCCCTCAGAAGCAGGCTGCACCCTGTGCCCCTTGTGGGTGGACCTGCCACCCTCCTTCCTAACTCTGCTGCCCCCGCTGGTTGCAGCAGCTCTCCGTCCCAGATCTGGATTCAGCAGCTCGGCCTTCTGGGGGCTCTTGGAACGCTCCGTTCTGCTGTCCCGCACCATCACGCTATCCCGAAGGATGTCCAGAGGCAGCAGGTGAGGAGGTTCAGGGACGGGGACCAGATGAGATGAGGGCGATGTCATGGAGAGGCTGTCGATGGGCGGAGCTACTTCCGACAGACTTGGGGAGGCTGAAGGGCGAGCATCCCATGAGGCAGCATTGTCTGGAACACACAGGTGCACAGTCAGTACCTCATCACACACACACACACACACACACACACCCAAACACACACACACCTAAACACAGCATGCAGGCCAAGCCATAGCCAAACCAAACACTGCGTTCCGTCCTGTGCTTCTCACTAAAAGCCTAAAAGTCAAACTTCAGAGCGGTATCCAACAACGCAACGCCACCGTCCCACGACATCCATCTCACCCACTCCCACTGCTCTCTTCTAAACTCCGGCCAATTTAGAACCAAGTGGGGAACATGCAAACAGGTTCGGTGAAATGGATGACGTGTCCAATCAGGTGGAGCGAGAATAAAAAACCTAAGGAAGCGTGATTGTCTTTCTCGTTCTCTCGTCTGATGTCCAGCACCTTCTCTGACCCTGCCGTCTCACAGACTGTTACCTCCTGTTTCTGCACCGATGATTCCCCGCCACGAGTTACCTTCAGCCGACTAAGCAGGAGCTGGACGAGGACGGGCTTTATAGGTCGGAGCCATGAGGCCTAATTATAAAAAGAGTCTCATTGTGGAGAGTACAGCAGCGACTTTGGCTTAGGACGAACAGGGAGACATGGAGACAGGTGGAGGTCCAACAGAGGACCACTGAGGTTTAACTGGTCTGTTATGGCCTTCTGTGCGTCATAGATAGTAAGTAGGAACTGGGCAGAGCTCCACTGGCTGCAGGCTGTGGTTGCAGGTGACACCACAGAACAAGTGTTCTGGTGTATTATACATTAGTCCACTTCCAACATGAAAACGGAGGAGACAGTCAAACTGTCCAATCAGCTGCAGTTTCATGGATAAGGGACTGATTGTGACTGTGAGTTCCAAGCAGGTTTTTTAAGTCATGATCACATCCTGAGCATTAAAGATTGGACAACGGGAATAAAGTCTGAGGCTGAATATGATTGGTCAGTGTGTGTGATTGACAGCTGGATCATCTAATCTGAGCCTGGCTTTTTAGTGGTGACAGTAAAATTCACCAACATCTTGATATGAGACCTTTCACCTTCTACTGTCAATCAGACACAGTGACCAATCATATTCACCCTCCCACTTTGTTTGTTTACCTCTTCCACTTCATCTCAATGCTCTAGTCGGAGTTATCAACTAAATTTTTTGGAGGGCTGGGATTTTTCTGGAGAGACCACCACACACTAAAATAAAATGAAATAAATACATGTTTTTTGTTCAACATTACCATTTGATGTTTATTCTGGAATCGTCTCGGGCCAAACTGGACAGCTGGGTGGGCTGCATTCAGGCCACGAGCCGTCAGTTGGCTGCTCGATGGCGTGTGTGCAGTAACGCAGTCTAAATTAATTGAAGACATTAAATCAAATTCTCTTCTTCCTGGAATTCAAACTTTCCCTCTCGTCTCCTCCTTCTTCCG